GAACGTTTCCCCGAGGAGTCAGCCCTGATGTCCTGCCTCCCTCCCCTCCCCCGTACCATTTAGACCTGTCCCTCTCAAGGACACACACCCCCATTTCCCATGATGCAGTTCCTAAGAAGTATTATCATTGGTCCCCTGCTGTGGGATCATCAGTGATTTTTCAAGGCCTTCAGTTTATTTCCCTATTTTTCAAAGAAAATTGGTTAGGTTTACTGGGGTCTGAGTCTATGTCCAAAGACTGTGAACAGCTTGCTCTCTTCCTGGCCCCTTCTTTCATCTCTAGCTGCGTTGCTTTGCGAAGCCCCAAGGGCTCATGGGAATGCTGCGTATAGCTAGTTTGCTTCTTGCATGTATGGGATGGAAACAAACCACAAAAGGATCGAGGTTTTTAAAGAGTCTATTTCAGAACCATATCTGGTATTTTCAATCATAAAAGAAGGTTTAGTTGTCCTTAAATTTGTATAACTGTTTAATCTGTTCTTGCTCATTTTGAGTTTTTTTTTTTTTAAAAAAAAAAAAAAAGAAAACAAGTGGTAGAATGCCTTCAGAAGGTCTTCAGACCCCTGTTAGTTCTGTCTTCCCAAACTCAGTCTCCTCTCCATTTTAGCCCAATGTTTTCTGTGTGGACCCCTTACTCATGCTTTCTTTAGGATTTTTACCCAATTGGGTTGGAAGGCAGAGGTCTCCAAACTGATTAAATAGTTCAAGAGATTTTGTGTTTGGTTCATTTTGACATCATAGGTAATTCCACATTTGTGGTTGGTCCTAATTATGTTTCAACCCACCCGTTGTCCACTGGCTTGGCAAGCTCCCCAGAGGGCTGGATCAGACAAGGTGATAGAAAGTGGGGTGCAGGGAAATGGAGGTGATATAGAAGCTAGAGGTCATCAACTCTGAGCCCATGTTATTCAACGAGAAAAGAACTAACCATCCCTCCACTGTGTAGATTATGTCTGGTATGCTTCCAGAATGGGAATGTATTCGAGTTGCTTTAAACCAGTGGTCCTCACTCAGGGCTGTGTAGAATAACTAGTTGAGCTTTGAAAAAGATAAACAAACCTTGATTCCCGAAACTTACTCCAGATCATCTGATGTCATTGGTCTTAGGTGGGGCACAGGTGCCAGGGTTTTTTTAAAACTCCAGTAAACAGCCAGAGTTGCGTGTATTGTTTCAAACCCTATGAAGAGAGGTGGGCCAATGCGGCCCAAGCCCTAGCCAACTTGCCCTCAGCACTTTTCCAGTTCATTGTAGAGGTCATCATCCTGTTCTGATCAGGATCTCTGGATTTCCTTCAAGTCTGAGAACCCCAGGGCAGGGGCAAAGAGAGTCAACAGTGCACAGTAAGGAGTGGAGAACAGGTTTGGGCAGTACCTCAGTCATCGGCCTAAGGCTTCAGAAGGAGAAAGTGGACTCCATGATAGTCAAGGTTGAGTCTACAGGATCTATCAACCTGTTGACAGTATACAAGGGGTCTTCAAAATGTCCATGGAAAATGCGTACCGTGGAAAGACTATGCATAGATTTCACTTTGTTTTGTTTTAGAGACTTTTGCTATAGGGTGTGTGCACTCACCAGAGACACAGAGAGAGAAAGTGAGAAATCACCCCCAGGGGGTGTAGCCATGCTGCAATCCCTTCTTTTCTATTCTCTCAGGATTTGGGGCATGTATGCACATGCTCCCAGTGTGTTTCAAGCCACCAGGTCTAGGACTCAAACCATGGTTGGCCATGTGGGAGTCCAGTGCCAACCACTATGCCACTTGCTGGTCTCCTTGGTTTTTTTTTTTTTTTTTTTTTGGACCAAAATAAATGCACTCTGATTCTATTTTTCCATGAACTCTTTGAAATCCTCTTGTATCAATTAAAGACCTACACTGTACCAGGAGCTGGGCCCTGAACCCCTATAGTGGGCAGGCATGTCATGGATCCTTACTAATTCACCATCAGGTGCAAGGAGCTTGTAAATGCAGCTCCCTGCAGCACCCATATGGCCGCAGGTCTGCCTTCCTCACCCAGAGAACACGCAGACCACAGCCAAAGCTTGCTGTTAACTAAAACTAAGCCGATCCAAACCACACTCATGTGATTCTTCAGTCAGGTCCAAGTGATGTTAAGGATATCAGCAAATGGTTCAGAATGCTCTAGCTTCAAAGCTCAAATGCCAAGGGGTGATTTCCTGAGCCAGCCAGGTGGTGTGGTGGTAAGGTGGCTGGATCCCATATGGCTGACTGTGTGGTTCAAGTCCCGGACTTGGCAGCTTGAAAAATACGCCATGAGTATGTGGGTGGGTACATGCCTAAAATCACAAGAGGAGAAGGGAGGAGAAAGGATTGCAGTGTGGTCATCCCCCTTGGGGGTGATTTTTCATGTTTCTTCTCTCTTTCGGTCTGATTACCACACACACCCTATAGCAAAAGTTAAAAAAAAAAAGAAAGAAAGAAAGAAAAGGGGTGTTTCCTTTAGACCTGCTGGCCTGCAGACTCCGCCAGCTCTTCTCAGAGCAAGGACCAGAAGGTGGTCGTGGAGCTGGTACTCCTGCATGGGGAGGTGTGGGTGTCAGGCTGCATATGCAGCTAGAAATGCTGAGGTTTGGGGCCAGCAGGTGGCATAGCAGTTATGTTGCTGGACTCCCACATGGCTGATCGTGGTTCAAGTCCTGGACCCAGTGGCTTGAAACTCATGCTGGCACATGTGTGTGTGTGAGCCCAAGATCCTAGGAGGAGAATGGAGAAGGGATTGTGGTGTGATCATCCCTCCTGAGGGATGATTTCTCACTTTCCCTCTCACTGTCTCTGTCCCTGTCTCTCTCTTGCTCTCTGATGAGTGCATGTATCCTAAGGCAAAAACCTCTACAAAAAAAAAAACAAAAGAAGAAGAAAGAAATGTGAGTTTTCTGTGAGCTCTGAACTCTGCAGCTCTGAAACTTTTGCTCTGAGGCTCAACACAGCACGGGGTAAGGTTTCCTTGAACTTTTGAAATAGAAGGCAGGGAAGTTTCGTCTTGGTGACTGGAAGACCCATTGGTTTCAAAGGTGTCACATTTGGAACCAGATCCTTGTTTCTAGGCTTGCGTTTTCTTTGCTCGTGTCAAAATGTGGCATTTGCTTCTAAGAAAAAAAGCACAAAGAGGCTCATGAAAGCAGCCTCAGCGGGCTTCTTGGACCTCAGATTTGCTTCTTCAAAACGTGGTCTGATGGGAACCAGCAGTTAGCGTAATGGCTATGTCGCTGGACTCCCACGTAGTCGACCGCGGTTCGTGTCTCGGACCCAGTGGCTTAAAAAACTCACGCCAGGTGCGTGTGCGTGCCCAAGATCCCGAGAGGAGAATGGAGGAGAAGGGATTGCGGCGTGACCATCCCCCCTGGGGGGTGATTTCTCGCTTTCTGTCTCTATGTCTCTCTCTCTCTGACTGTCTGGCGAGCGCACGCACCCTACAGTGAAAATCTCTCCAAAAAAAAAAAAAAAAAAAACGTGGTCTGATGAGTTCAGAGTAAATGAATCAGAAGCATGTGGCATCAATTTACCTTAAAATACACTCAGGCCTAAAAATTAAGGGGAAAACGGCCTGGGGCAAAGTATGTACTGTCAGGCCAAACCCAAAACATTTGGGAAATGGTTCTAGAGACTCCCAGAACCAGAAAAGCTGTTTGCTTCACCCATCCCTTGGGAATGGTCAGACTTTTTATTTATTTATTTATTTTTTTCATGAGGCTAGAGGTAAGCCAGTTCTCTGAATCCCAGCCTGCGCTCAGTCGTGGAGTCTGGTGGGGCTGGTTGTTTCTTGGACCTGAGATATTCCTGGGCTCCTCGCCAGCCTTGTCCGTGCAGGGGTTGGGCCTTGTCAGGTGAACCCTGCTCTGCCTGCTCCATAGGTCCCAAAGGACAAAGGGTGTTTTGCCAGAAACACTCGGGTAAGACCCAGAACACCTGCAGAAGCCCTGATGTTGCCACCTAATCTGAGCGCCATGTGGATGAAAACTTCCATTGAGTTGCTTCTAATTCTAAGGTCTGTGATTCCTTGAAATGTGCTTTGGGGATGACAGCCAGCATTTCCATTAAACTGCAGTTTTAGAGTTTCACAGTGGTTTGCCAATCATAACACTTTCTAATTGGCACCAAATCTACCTACCTGTGGTCTCTCAGGCTGGGGTAACATGTAGAACTTTTCTCAGGTAACAGTCTTGGCCCGTGTGGTGGTATTTGCCCAGATGGTGAAACCATTTAAAGTAGGTTTGAAAACTTCATTTTTAGTGGCTTGAATATAATTTTGTGGCCTGGATGTTTGCTCTAATGTAAACTTAAGATTTACTAAATTGAACATTCTGAGCCAAGAGAGTCGCCAGAGAGAAATGACATGACAAAGGATCAACTATTTTTCACTCCCTTCTTGCCATATGAAATCCTGTTTGTAAAAGGTCTTTGTCTCGGACCAGCAGGTAGCGTGGTAGTGGTTAAGGCACGAGAATGCATATGGCTAACTCTGCAGTTGGAGTCCTGGACCCAACGGCTTGAAAAACATGCCAGGTGTGTGTGTGTGTATGTGCCCAAAATCTCTAGGGAAGCCTGGAGGAGAAAGGATTGTGGCATGGCCATCCTCAGTGGGGTGTGATTTCTCACTTTCCCTTTCTCTCTCTCTCCTATGAGCACACACATCCCCAATGACAAAAATGTATTTAAAAAAAAGTCTCTTTCATAAGAGGATAACACTTTTGGTTGAGCATCCATTTTGGTTGAACCAGTTGCTTCAGAGATGAACAAAATAGTCCACCGATAACACTAGTATCCTGGGGCTTATGCAGCATCTGAGACAGAACTGGAGTGCAATGTGATAGGTGCATCTGCGGTAGAAACAAAATTATTTTAGTTAGATTTATTCTTTTGTTTGTTTGTTTTTGAGAGGTTTTCGCTATAGGGTGTGTGCGCTCACCAGAAGGAGAGAGACAGAGTGATAGAAAGTGAGAAATCACCCCCCAGGGGGGATCG